CGAATGGCTAACAATGAGAAAAAGAGACTAAAATAATAATAAAAAAATGGCAGTAATATTGCAGGCAGTCTGCTGTTTGTGGTATATTTTATACGCCTCTCAGCTTCGCTTACACGCACGAATGAGTAGAAGAAAATACCTCGCACACGCTCCAATGCTGATCCTGCAGCGCCTTATACGCTATGCATAGAAGACAGCGAAAATATTTGATATGTATGAGTGCGCATATAAAGTGAAAACATTTACACATGTTTGATTTATGGGTCAAGTGTGTGATAAAACTACAAAAGCAAGCTAAGCAGTACACAACTCACGAACACACAGACACCGAGAAATGAGAGACATGCGCGCATTTTAGTATATGATGCCAGGACGTGCAGGGGAGGACGAAAATATTAGTGTAAACCATAAGTAAAATCGCGTAAAGGTTTCAACAAATTATTCAGTCATTAGAATGTCAAAAAAATATTACAACTTGAGCGTCTTAAAGCAGCACAATATACTATACTATTCCTTGCATAGTAAACAGAGAGTCCAAGGTTGTATGTATTAAATAACATAATGAATTCATTTTGAACGTGTTGAAAATTACATTTAAATACCACCCTCCTATTCGATTTTCATAAATTCAATTTTGTAGAATTCGAATTATGTTCGGGAAATACCATGTCTAATTTGTTTTATCAAGCTCTATTAGTCTTCAAGACCTACGTATTGATATGAAAGACAGATAAGCGGTCTTTTCAAACAATTTAAATGGGAATGATGTATAAAAGTAACATTTCGTGCTCCTTCAGCTCACGTACTTGGACCCCAGGTTATGACCCATAAAATTGTGTTCAACTTTATTGGCCAGAAACGAAACAGTACAAAGGGTTATGACCACTGGGCGCTGAGACGCACTGCAGTGGGCGTGGTCAGTATAAACTGCATTAAATGCATGTAACCATATTAAAAGTAATTGAATTTTATGCATCTCAGCAGCGTCTTCATCGACTGCACCAAGCGAAATCAAGTCAATGGGCCAATTAGCCAGCATGACAGCAAGATGGTTAAAGATATATAAAAAAATGTGCATATAAATTTATTGAATCAAAACTATATTTTTACTGTTACTTAAATATAGCTTTGATTTATGGCGACAAAATGCCAGAAAATTCCTTTGGAGACAAAAGCCAGTGAGCTAAAATTGAAAATGACAAATTGCATTAGGGCTCTAGTACAACAACACCACTAACAAGGAAAGGATGACCGCAAAAGTGACAGCACAAAGAGTGCAAAAAGTAAGCAACAATTTTTGGTCTGAGGGGCCTTTTATGGGCATACATGAAGACGACAAATGCAGCAACAAATGCAATTGCAACTGCAGCACCAACAGCAAATGCAACAAAAATAATAACGAGGCCAGCAACAACAATGTTGCACATGGTCAAAATCCCATTCACAGCTAGAAGGATTTGTATAGCTGTGTGTGTGTGTGTTACTCCTGACGCAAACACACATGCAAATAGGGATTGGGTCAGGGCTGGACAAACTTGGCGAGACGCAAATGAAAACAAATGCAAATAACAAACATATGAGACCATAAACAAAACAACGACAACAATTTTAAAACGATTTTCTAATCAAAACACATTACTCTACACCACAGAGTCATATTTATATTGTTTTTACAATGCACATTGCATGTACAAATTTAATTATGCGCAAACCACGATGTTTTGGTTTTTCTTTTATACCATGTAACCAAATAAAATAAAAATCGAAATCAATAAATAGATTTTCACTCGCCTCTTTTATATGGATCCGTGATTCATTGGAAAATCATTGCTTATAAAGTTATGGCCTTATGCTTTGGTGTGCGCAACTGGCTTTTAGGACCTGAATACTGGACACTGAAGTTGGCCAACCTCGACTAGAGCACTCTGGATAATTATTATAACAAGTATACTCTAGTTCTGATTGTCCACTTAGGATATACCTATAGTCCTCACACTATAATCTAAATTAATCGTTATAGTAATCCTTCAGACATTCATTCGGCTTTCTGTCCTGGCTGAACATATGAACCCCTTATGGAATTTGGGAGTCCCTCTCATTGCGTGTTACACTCATTTGGGTACAGGGTATAAAAATGAAAATTTGCAGAATATGCGGCGCCCAAAATATTTGATGGGACTGGGTCTGAGGAAGGTGATGCATGCACGACCAACCACAAAAATTTCATTACATGTGTAAATTATTTACGAAACAATTTGGCCAAATATAAAAAAAAGAAAACTTCCAGCGGGGTCTGCGAGCAAAGCTCTAACGGAAGCGAAAATAATTATTCTTATTTTTCATGTATGTGGGTGAGTCAGTGTGCCAATGGGCCAAGAAGATAAAAGCTTTCGGCAATTTCAAATATATACACATTTAGGGCTACTCACAAATCATATAACTGAAGTTTAAAACAAAACACATTTGTATTTCCTTTAAAAACAATTTAAATTAATTTAAAATTGTAAAGTTATATAATATTTCAAATTTATCACGCCCGAAGTTACTAATTGCAGTATAATGTTTTTCTTGCCTAAGCTAATGACTTTAAATATACTTCTGTTTATTCGCGTCGGACAAGGTATTACAATTTTTTGGCCACGTTTCACGTTTTGTTTACCAAATTTTCAATGGCTGAATGGTATACATATTTAAATTTTGTTAGACATGCCTTGAATCATTTAGATAAACCGCTTTGTGGATGCATCGAAATGTCTATTGCAGCCGTTAAATGCTGTCGAGCATACAATGGTCGGACGCCCCGGGCATTTGCTTTGACAATTCACTGGATGTAAGCACAGGCGGGTGCCTGCCTGCCTGACAAACATACATATCTACAGAGACAGACACAAATATGGTACAATATTCCAACTGGCAGCTGTAGGACGAGCTACATTTGGCAGCCCGTCACACAGTACTTGCCAGGGAGCACTTCAATGCCATGTCAATAAATTATGTAGTGGATTTTCAGCGAGACACAAACATTAATACAAAACCTGTGCTTACAGACTTCTCGCACAAATGTGTGTGTGTGTTGTTTTGCATGTGGCACATAAGTCGCCTGATTTATGTTCAATTTATGCGCATGGCTCAAAAGGGAATCAAAGTCGAATGGTTTGGTCTTGGAAGCAGTTCCAATAAATTTTAGATTGCGAGCGACAAATGCAAAGCAAAAAAAAAATATAAATGTAAAAAATCAAATCATATTTTCACATTAAAAATACATATAACGATAATAAGAGCAACATCCTGGGCAAACCGGCACAATACCAGCCATAAAAAAAATAAAAAACGCATCACTCGGCTGTCACAGTCACCCAATATACTCCGACCATTTGCAAGCCAGGCAGCAAAGTAAATTCCTCGCAAAATTGCCTTCTTTTTTATTGGTTGCGCCAAGCTCCTGAAAGGTGTACAAATTGTAGTGTGCTTTTAGGCGCCCACGAGTTTCATCGCAAAAAAATGCGACTCAAAGCAAATTACGCTGACAAATGAAAATGTCACAATGATGATAATTTATTTTGCCTTTGTCAATTGCCCCTCGCACCAGCTGGCAAACATTCCTCAGACATTCTAGCTTTCATCTAAAACTGCCAGACCGTACATATGCCAGCTGCTGACTACCAACCGCTGCGATCTGAACCATAAGCTCTGTGCAATTAAAAGTAACGTTGGGCAATTCCCAAACCAGAAGGTGTCCGTACTCGTAACACTGCTGTATCATATCTATTTCATTGAGTGTGGGGCAAAGATAGCTTGGAATATTTCTATGGATGGTTTCGTATAAGTATGTGAGTGTGATCAAAGTGCGGAATTAAGGTCACTTTGATATTGTGAGACAGTTTATATTCAATTCAATTGATTCGGAGAATAATAAAATAAAATACATAAAATTTAAATTTTTTGGAAAAAAAGAAGACATTTTCTCGAGAAATGTATATACTTATTTTGCAGAAACTCATAAACACGAAACAAATAAGAAACTTGATGATGAAAAACCCGTTTAAAAATTTGTAACACTAAATGGATCATTTGTAGGACCTTGATTAAAGAAGCTAAATTTCTTTTAACACTAAGATAAAATCTAATTTAATAATATAATAAATTGTATATATGTAAATCTTAAGTAAATAAATTAAATAAAATGTTAAGCACCGCGTTAGGGAATGGATACAGTTAAAGGATATGAAGTGAATATAGTTTCTATAGGTTAATATTGTTTACGAAATATCGACATTTAGTCTCCAGTCCCATCAAATTAAAGGGTACTCTATTTTCGCAGTACTTTGTTGTACGGTTTTATTTCGTGTTTCCGTCTCTTTGTTCGTTGTGGCAAAAACTTTACGCTTCATGTGCGCAGAGTGTTCCTGGCTGTTTCTTACGTTTTCCAGCCAATTCGCCATGACGCGTCTTGCGCTATTAAACTTTTTGGCATGATATTGCCGTTATTTGCCTTGTGGAGCGGAGTTTGGCTCAGTACATTGCTGAATACAAATATATGTACTTACTTGTCATATAATAAACTTTAATGCTATGGGGTTTTGATGCCTCGCTGGTAGAACACATACACATGGCCTGGGCAGGAAACACCGGGGACAGCACTTTATGCGCATTCCACAGTGTCCTGGACTCCGGCCTCCTGCTGAGTCCAGCACAAACTTTTCATTCTTTTCGGTTGCTTCTTTATTAGGCTGAAAAATGAAAATGCCTTCGCAACAGGGCCTCTTCTCCTCATTTAGTTTGTCTATTATGTGCAGCCCGTTAAAATGTCTGTTTGCTAAATATTTGCATAAATCTTTTGGGCACGCGCAGCCTCTGTGCGTGTATGAGTCCTTCCCACATTTTGTTTATGTTACCCATACGCATCGTGTATGTAATTTATTTCAACTTTTTAAGGCCCACGATCAGAATGTCAGCGGAATTTACACAAAAAGGAGTTGGCATGCTTGCTACATTTACCATTTTCATAATAACTAAAAACTTTATTTAAATATTTGCTGCTTTTATTTATAAACGTAGTTAATCCTAATGCTCGTTAACGCTCAGCTGGCGCTACTCACTTAAACATTAAAACAACTTTATAATCCATTATAATGTGTTCACATTTTGTTTGTAACAAAATATCATCAACACAATCATTATCATCTCTATGACATTAATATATGCTTGTAGTTTTTTGTTTTTATTGTTATTATTATGTCTGATTATAATACTCAATTTAACTTTTATATATACATATACAAACTTTATATGTATTCTATACTCTTCACTGGATTTATTGTTTTGATTATTTTTGGATTTTCGTTCTCGTTTTTTCTTTACTGTTTATAGCAACATGCATTTACTCATTAAACATTCATATAAATGTCGCGACAAATTTCACTGGCGCGCATTTATAATTTTTAATTATTAATATTAATATTTATGACTGCAAATGGGTTTCTCTTTGGAAAATTACACACATACTCCTACCACATCTAGTTAAATACAGCAGCTTTAATTTATACGTAACATATATGCAATTGTTATTTACAATTTTGATCAGTTAAATGCCCTGCCATGCCCTGGCTTGCGAATGGTCATAACATTTAATAGTCGACCGGCCATTAAGGTGGACAGTCGCATGCATTTTTAAATGTGACACATTAAACGGCGCCAAGCGCAGAGGAAACGGCTTGGGGGAGGTGCAAAATGCCATACGGGGAAAAGGAGTACCTATGCAACCATGGGCCATCGACCCAGGCGGAAACCCGGGCGAAATGCTTTCAGACAAACTGAAGTCTTGGGCGCTACACTTTAGTGGGCAGCTTAGCAAATATAAATGCAAATATTTTGTTGACAGGCAATGGCAAGTGACTTGCAGCTTTCTGGGGAAATACAACCGGACATGATGAAGTAGAAGTTCCAAATACAGCTCCAAACTCTTGAGCAACAGCAAGTTTGGGGTGGGCACATATTCTCAATACTTTATGGAATACTCAAGAAGTGCGAGTGACACTTTGGAGGAAACAGACTAGCACAGCATTTTACGTATTTTTTCGAAGATAGAAATGGCACCCCGACAGAAAGTTTAAGAAATGCTACTCAACTATGTACATACATAGTTAATACAATGCCTGTTTAAACGAAGATATAGAAAATCGTATTAATAAAGATTGATGCATTTGTAATGCTGGGTTATTGGAAATTTGCTAGTTTTAAATGTTGTCTGGCTTAGAAAACGTCGAAAGCGCAAAGCTCGAGTAGGAACATTATGAAAACATATGCATACGTTGATCTTACCGAAATGCGTTGTCGAAGTGACTGCCGCCGATTAAGTACTGGCAGTAATTATAAATATTTACATTATTAGCTAGGCCTTACAAATATATACAGGTGACTATCAGAAACTTATCCCAATTGTTGATGACAATAAACTTCGCATACAAAGCCCTCAAATCAAAACGATATATATATAATCAGAAAATGAATGAAATTTAAGTCGACTTTAAAATATTAAATTATTGCCGCAGTTTCTACAACCGACAACACGTTTTTTTACTTTTTTTCTTTTCGAACAGTTATTTTTGTCAATAACAATACTTGTGATTTTTACATTCTTTAGCCAAAGTTTTGTTGTCAATTTTACTAATGTCTCTAGTGCTGGCATATAAGTTTAGATAAGAGTACTATGTACATAGCTGCCCCCCCTGAGACCTAGTCCCAACCCATGTAAAGTATACACGCACTAACTTAAAACTTAGAGAGTATACCAAAAGCAATATCAATAGCTGCACCAGTACCAGCCGCCGTAGTTGAAATTATCCAAAGCAGCTCATCATTAGCGTTATTAGCTATTTTTTTTTATATAATTTTTATTTTAAATTTTATTTTTGGTATAATGCGGCATGCTTCGGAAGTTGCTGCCACTGCCACTGCCACTGGTGCACCTACTGCTGCATTGCATAATTTGCGCGACAGCCAAGCTTCACATCTTGATAGCTCTCCAGCGGGCAGCCCACTTAGTTACATTCGCTGACTTGGCTGCCGCATTAGCGGTGGCATTTCTGTGGCGCTTCTAACTGTGCAGCTTTAATTTATCACCGTGCAGTTGTCCTACTCGTATTGACATGGTTGGACGGGGTTGACGTCGTCTGTTGGCCACCATGTTTGCGGTTACCGCAGATGCTGTTCTTGTTCGCCCGCGCCGTTTGACTTTTCTCCGGCCGTGCTATGTTTTCTGCCCCATCTCCAGCGGCTGCTCCGCCTCCTCTGCCTGCTCCCTGGAGCAGCAGTGTGCAGCAGGCTTCCAACAATACAAATGCCGCGACCATTGTGCTAATTACTTTGACGGCCTGCGTTGCCTGTTTCGTGTGGCAGGCCCAGGCCAGTGCGACAGCAGCTGGTGCCGCATTCGTTTGCATTGCTTCGGGTCGCTCGCCTGTGCAAAATGAGCAAACACAGAAGAGAAATTAATGCAGACATGGCATAAATGAGTTACAATTTGTTGGATCCTTTCACAAAACACACTCACCCGACCCCACACAGACACCGCACCGACCCCACCCAGGACTCACACAGACCAAAAAACCGCCTCGAAATACTTATTCCTGTTGTGGTTGGTTCACTTAATATTTTGTTCAAAAATGCATAAAGTTTTTCGGGCTGAGAAAAATTGTACAACAGAGCTGAGTGTGTATTCCATCCTTGCAACCGCATACTATATGGAGAAAAGGTCAAGTATCCTCAAATACTTTCCGTGCAGTTATCAGACTTGAAAGCCCTTCAACTGCATCTGTGGGTTCCGTTCAATTTTATTTCTTATTGATTTTTTTAACCGTTACCATTCACTTATTGGGCATTTAAACTCGCTTAATGCACTTGCCCCACACACAAATATGCATTACTACTCACCCGGATTGCATTTCTACTCACCCTGCAGAACGTGGACGCGTATGCTAGCAATTTCAGTATTTGATGGATAGCACGAGTATTTGCCGGAGTGCAATAAATCCGCATCGTAGATAAGCAAAATTGATTTGGTCTCCTCTGATTTAATGGTTTTAAATTTCAGCCGCCCACCGGCAGTCTCCTCGCTGAGCACCTGTGTGTATGAAGGTGTGTATTAGAACATTTTCGCTAGAAATTTTTGAGTTTAAAAGGAAATTTAAAGCAAGCGGCAGGAGGCGGCAGTCAAGCGGCAAGCAGGCAGCCCGCTAAATGCAAAATCATGTTTTCTCATAATCATAAAAGCTAAAATTAAATGCGTTGCGTATACGCAGCATAAACAAAAGCGCGAACACAAGTCGCGCCCAGCGCTCATAAAAGTTGAAACGTTTATCCAGAGGCAATTGGCTGGACCTTGAGCTTGAGTATTGGTATGAGTTACAGTTTGAGTTTGAGTGCCTGGGGTATGAGCTGTGGGCGTGGCAGCCCTGATTTTTTGGCTTCTCTTATTGCGAGGGCAAAACTCAATTATTGCAAGATAATTTGATGCACACAAAAAAAATTTTAATTTATCTTTAAGACTTTTTTCTTTTATTTTATCATTTTAATACAATTTTGTGGACTCTGGTATGATGCTCACCTTATCCTGATGATACCAGAAAATGTGTGTTGGTGGCTCCGGACTGAACTTAATGATGCATGTAAGATTAATGGTGCTGCCCTTGTCCACATAGAGATCGGGTCCGCCGAGTATCGTTGCAGTGGGCACTGCAAAGTAAGTAGTTGAACAATTTCATCAGTTATTGCAAACAATGAGAATGAGTAGAATAAGTGAATCAGCAAATTATTGTCAACATTTCTTAACCCACGTGACTGTTTCCAATCAAAAAACTAACTAAATAACAGAGAACAAACGTGGAATTTGCTAGCATCTGTCCCAGGTTGACTCATTCCGTCCAAATCGATACCTCAGTGCGCAAGTTGGCAACTGGTCATATCGGACCTCATTCCAGTGCTAAAAAAAACTCTATTTGTTGCCAGACGTAGCCATTCTCTTGCTTCCAACTCGTACGCTTTGTTGTCGATGCCACTTATGCAACCTGGCATTGTTCTCGCTTATGTTGCAATCAGCACACACGAGTATCTATGAGTGTGCGTTCGTTTGTGTATGTAACAAATCAATGGCAATAAAAAACGTCAGCAAAATGCACTCACATGTGGACTACGAAATGAGCAAGAAGCGACTCAAATGACCAAAGTCCAGATTCCCCGAGAGAAGAAGAAGCCCTAACTGATAGACAAACTGTCTAGTGAGCGAGTCAATAAGTGAAATAAGTTTCGAAGTTCTAGCTGGCAAAGAAAAGTATGGGAATTATATAGTTTTATCCGTATTACACAGCAAAACTTTAAGTTATTTTACCGTTTTTTTGGAATATTGAATGAGTTTGATTTTGATTCGGAGAGTTCCACATATTGTTCACAAGAAATCAGGTGACTTTTCCTCGAAAGTCATCTGATTTCTAAAGCGTCATCAAAGCTACCTTGTAAATTGTTTGTTTTTCATCCGATCCAACCATCCGATACAACTATTCGATCCAACCCTGGGCTGTATAAACACTTGTGGCCGTTGTTTGGATCAGACGTTCTCAATATAAGCCACAGACGTCGTCTAGTAAATTCAGTAAGTCTGTGGTCATAGAATGGAGCGAATGTGCATAGTTTTTCTTTTATTTTTCGTTTGCTGCTCCAAATGTCTGGCAATAGACTTTTGCAATATGACTGAGTGTAAAGGAGTCAGCCATTTGGGTTGCAACAATGATTTGGTAAGGCTTGGAATCAATAAGGCAATTATAATTCGACTCTCTTTTAGACTTTTCATAGTAGTTGCATGCCTAATTGTATACTGCTCAATATGCAAATATATAAGAATTACCTGGTCAAGCTACACAATAAATACCGTGAAGATGTGGCGTCCGGAGTTTTGACGGGTCTGGCTCCAGCTAGTCACATGCCGGAGTTGCTGTGGCATTCTAAGCTGGCTTTGATAGCCGAGTACCATGTGAAGCGTTGTCTACAGAGACTTGAGAACTGCATGGCTGTTACTGCGTTTCCCAATCCAGCTGTTAACTACGGTTTGAATTGGTTAAATATTGCATCGCTTCCCAGCTATACGCGGTCGACGAACTCTGAGAAACTAACTAGTCAAACCGAACAGTGGCTGCACCAGGTGTACAACCTTGCACAAGGGGATCTTGGCGGTGAAATCTATGAGATTAAAAACATACTTAATGATAACAACAGATACGTGGGCTGTGCCGCGGCTGAGGACTATGATAAGGCGGCCAATCGGTTTGTGCTAATATGTTACTACAACCATCAGCATGAACAGATTGCTCCAATCTATAAGAGGGGAACATTTGAGGCAAAACATTGCCCTCACGGGGTCAGTAATAGTTATCCACATCTGTGCAAAACGTTTACTGACATAAACGACTAAAAGAATAAAACTTTCATTTGCAACAAACCGAGCCACTCTTGATGGTTGCCTAATTAAATGTGACAGGTACTTGAGAAATAAAAAATATTTGTGGCAAAGTATTTTCATAAAAATTGTTGGGCCTCCAGGATAAAAAATGTGTAAGGTAAAATGTGGAAAGTAACAAGCTGCCAAAGTTAGTCGGAAAAAGTATTTTCCAAAGCAATTTGTTCGTTATGAGCCAGAAAAACGTTGCCCCAGCCAAAAGTGCTAGACTCAACTCTACAGCAACTCTCCTACTTCCGCCCAACTGGAGGACTTGGCTAAAAAGTGCACAAAACTGACGTGAAATACACATAAAATAAAAAAATATTAAAGGATAATATATGCACATGCTTGTCAGCTCTTAGCTCCCCCTTTCCCCTTCTGTCTACGGCAACTGTTAACTAACTGGTTGAACATAAACTTGTCAGGCAGTTGCACTTAGGAGCTTGCACTGCTTATGTCATATTTTTCTTAACAAACCCGCAACTGTTTGAATGGGGCCAAACATGCCCGCAAATTCATCATCGCTGGACTGATAAACTCGATCCGCGGCTATGTAGAAGGCATCGTCGTTGAAATATTGCTGCATCAGACTGCTCGTCTCCTCGTCGATAATATCTGATGCACACCACGTCAAGTGCGAGATACACAACCAAAAATTTGTATGAAAATAAAAAACAAACAAGAAATGCAAATAAATAAACAAAAAATATGAATAAGGTGCATAATCATAATAATCGTAATCATAATAACTGAATTCAATTAAAAATAAATAATTATGTAGTTTGATTAAAATTAATAATTACTCAAAAATCGTATTAAAAATAACTTAATTTATGTTTAAAGTTTTTGAATTTTAATCATAATCAAAGAATTCTTTTAAATATTTTATAAATAATCATGCAGTATTATTGTTTACCTAAACGTTTTCGGAAAAATAAACTATTTTATACCATTTACCTTCATGAATGCAAGCACCCACTAAATTATAACCTTTTTTTTTTTATATAGTGATTAATAAAAAAAAATCATGAATATTTTGAAGCCTATATATATGAGCTATTAAAAATGTGCACTGCGAAGGTGGCTACAGGGTATCCCCGAGCCGAACATGCTTTACTAAAGCACTTCACCTAGATGCAAACAATGAAATTATAACTTCTAAAATAATGTTCAGGAGATGCAAGCCACGTAAAAAATGAACAATAATAAAAATAGTCTAAGGCAATTGGCGCTATCCATTTGACTTTAACATTTAATTATAGAATTTTTACTATTTTTACAATAGTAGTATGCAACTTCTGTTTTCTTTACTTTTTTGCTGTCACAACAATATTTCACATATTTTTTTGAAATTCGAGAAAAATTGTAATCGATCTCCTCCTCTCTTCCGATCAACTGGTGTGCTATTTTATACAGCTGTTTTATCTACGCCTGGTGTTTATTTTTATACTCTGTTTTGGTGCAACACCCACCTGTTCATATGGATGCTATTGAAGCTAGATATTCCAAGTATGTAAAAAAAAATGAAGTTAGCTATTGAGTTAAGATCCTGAGCTTGATTCCCTTAATTTAGTGTGTGGATTACTACATGGTACTCTCACTGTCGCTTATTTTTACTTTAGTTGGAATTTTGAAATCGCTGTCTTTGAGTTACATTTATCATTATTGCACTACTAATGGAGAGTGTTGCGCAGTCAGTTCGACCCGACTGGACGGTATTACTTGTTATATTGTTTTTGTGTATTTTTGTAGCGATATTGCCAAGTGTGCATAATTTACACTCTTGCAAATTGCATGAATATGCAAATAAGAAACATGTGAATACCCCTCGCATCGAATTTTTTTGCAACATGTCGAAATATTACGTATACGCTGGCAGCAGAAGCAGAAGTTGAAATATGCAAAACCCAACGGCTAAAGCCTCGTCAGCTGTACGGCTATATAAATATTCGGTATATTTTATACGTTATAGGTATGTGTGCACACCCTGAAACAGTTTTTGGTTTTAACTCACCCACAATGTTCAAGTTGACCGAATAGCTGCGCACCGGCTGCGTTGATATTTGGCATTCGTAGACACCAGCATCCCGCTGCTGGGCCCATTTGATTTGCAATGTCCATTCATCAATATCACGATGATAGGAGGTCTGAAAACGTTGATCCGTTGTGTAGGTATATGTGCCCACGGTGAGTATGTGCAGATCACGATGTCGTATCCAAGCGACCTGTGAATATGGAGAAGGAAATTTAATTTTATATCTTTGACATATTCTAAAGGCGAACCAAAACTATTGCCTCTTGGCCCACTACAACCTGAACAATCGAACCTTTTATGCTCCCAGTCGGCTGCAGCCGATAGCAACTTTCTTAATTATTTGGCTTACGAAATTTCCTAGCATGAAAACCCATTAACTCATTTAAATAAAATAATTAAGAATACAAAATTGATGTGTGAGAATATATCATATGCATTAAAGGAGCGAATAGACGAGGCAGTGTATGTGATTTGAATAAGTAAGCTAGGGTTAAAATCTTGTTTGACCCTGTTTCAATTTGCATTTAATTTTCCTAACTTTGAAATTCTACGAACATCTTGTCATTTATTTTAAGTACGTCAAAAACTATTTGTCAGTGTATGTGCATAAGTCGATTTAAGACTGCTTTTCATACTTATTAAAACTGATTATTTAATTTATTAAAAGAGGCAGAAAACCAAATTTGAATACATCAGAATGTGCCTTTTTTGTAGTATTTGTGAGTCCCATGCTGATTTGCATTTTGATTAAGCTAAGAAAAACTTGTGTCAATTTGCTGGCCTTAGCTTTGGTCAGCCTAAGTCCGAGTCTCAGCCTCATTGTCGGCCGCAGCCACAGGCCAAAAATGTATGCAGCTCACAATCTAAATATTAAATAACTTAAAATTAGTGTGCGCCACGCATGACAGAGCCGGAAAATGATACTTCCGTGCTCTCAGCCTCGACATTCCTTTTCCGCATTGGCCACTACATTTTGTAAATTTTTTATGTTCCATTTATTTTTTTGTGTGCTGCCACTGTTTTGGCAACTTTTTGGGCGCCTTTTTATGCGGTGGCCAATTGCTACAGTAACAAATACACACGCAAGCACACATTGGGAGACACAGAAACAGACAGGCAGACCAACAGACAGACAGACAGACAGACTGCGTCAGAGTCAGCCAACTGTGCCAGGCATCCATCTGTGCAGTTCCAGTTGCCGTCTGTCTAATTCGGCAATAACAGTCCAAGCCGGCAAAAAAACTTTATTCCGTCAGAGTTTTTGCCGCACTGGCAACATAAATTTACCGTTGGCCAAAAACGAGCCGCCAGTTAACTAGAGAAGCTTGCCGCACAAGCCCTCTCTCTCTCTCTTTCTCTCTATCTTTCGTCCTCCCTCTCTAGGTCTGGTATGTGTAGTTTACTGATTGCGGAAGCGGATTTGGTTATGTGGAAATCTATAACCCCCGTCCAGGGTGCCAAGACCAACGCTCGCTTAACGTAATCAACGCTGGAGCATTTATAACTTCTGGCGCTAAACGAGGAGCACCTGCAAAGTTTCTCACGATTGCATGCAGGCCATATATGTGTTTGGAATGTATGCGAATACATCCGCAATGCTGAAGTGTGAACTATTCGGGTGTGTTTGATTGTTAAATCTCATCGTAAATTACTTTTAATGCTGGGCTCATGTCCTGCTCTGCAACAGATTGTGCTGCAGTGGCAGTGGCAGTGGCAGACATTGACAGCGTGACTAAATAACTAGCCCATTCTCCGGGTTGATGAACTTATTGCTGGCTAACATTTCAGCCGTATCGCAGTTATGGCAACCAATTTAATTGGTTTGCTGAAATTCAATACTTTGTTAAGCAATTTCCCAAAAACAGCCTTCAAGCGAACTTGTACAACAGTTTAAGTGCTGCTCCTCAAGCAGTCAAAAAAGTTGGAAAACGAGATGTTAATTTTCTAAAGCAAATTTAACCTTGGGGCTCCGAATATCCAAACAGGCTCATATGGCAAATGGCAAATGGTCAAAGTTTTTTTAGGCCATAGAAAATCAAGTGACGCCATAAAACTAATGACAATATCTGGACAGGGTACATGGTACATGGACAACATGTGTTGGCTTGTGTTTTGCGCCTCAACTTCGGTTCATTGTTTCAACGTCACGTAGTACATAATAAACTGACAGTAAATTTAATAAGCGGCTGCTATTATGGCACACACACACGCACGCAGACTACAACACATGCGTCCTATGCCAATATCATATAGCAACTATCTGAGATGGCCGACATATTGCCCGCACTTGTCGCTACATTTTTGTTTATTAAATGTAAATAAAAATAAACATTATTAAAACAGACGCCCCCGCAGCAACAGTCAAGCTATTGTTTTCGGTATATAACCATATAAGCTGGTTTCATATCATTTTTGTGTATATTTTCTTTTTTGCAGTCCACGTTATCTCTTCACTTTATGCTATTCTCTTTAACTTGAGCGTGCAGCTTTTGTGGTACATAGATATATACTACAAAAGATGGCCATCTAAGGATTTGTATTTATGCTTATCCGTATCTTTGCGCGAGTCGTACTCACCGTCTTGTTGCCCAGATGCTTGACACGACAGCCCAAATATGCGGATTTGCCCACAAGGGATGTTATATTCCTTGGCATTGTCAAATCAAAATACGGCTCGTTCCATTTGTGGCCATGCGGATAATGTAATGGTGGCAGATGTGTTGGCTTTGAATCTGCATTATTATGATTGTTGTTGTTGTTCACAGATTGCCGCTGGTAGCACAATGTTAGCCCTGCGAGACAGAGAAAAAAGAAACCGAAATCAAAAAAACGTTTTTCTTCATATTATATAAAAATAAATATTTGTTCATGCGTAATTTTCCATTGGCGTTGCCAATGTCCGTCAGCGTTACTTAACCTCAATTTTGGTTATACTTTTATTATTAACTTATAATCCCAGCTAAGCCACCTGCAGGACAATGCTGTTTGGCGACTCGTTCCCGCTCGGGGACATTGCTTTTGGGGTCGACAGCGCCACGAGCTCCGGCTTGTGGCAGGGCGGAAACAGGAAACGTTTCTATCCAAACTCTACCTTATTCATGCTAATTGTAGTTGAATTGAAGAGATGACACAACTGAAACATACACAACCGGGAGCCAGCTTTTGTGTTTTGTTGTGATCCTTGTGTAACTAAAACTAAAATTGCGCAAATGACAAACTCATTGTGCCGGGTCTCAAGTGTCGGTGGCAGCTGCATGTGCCTCGCTTGCTCGTCAAGTGCGCCCCTTGTGGAGTGCCAGTTGTTGTTGCTTCTGGTTGTTGTGCATTGCATTTATGGGCCGCTGGCAGGGGTTAATTTTCTAATTACCAGACGCGTCGACTTTCTATGACTTCGACAGCATTCGCGAAATGAGAACGCAATGTTTTTTACGACTCACAGAGTGTCCCGACTATGAAGTGTTCGGATGTTTATGCTCTGTTACGACTAAAGAGTCCTCGAGTTGGGATTGTCCGACTCGAAGATACCCTTCCACACAATCACTCAAGCTGGCACGCCAAAAGTTTCGCATATCAAATTTAATACACGACTTTAGCAAATCGGTAATTCGATAACTCATTTTTTGAAAATTTTTAAAAAAAATATATACGCTTTCGGCATAGGTCAAGCATATAAATACATCCTTGATGAGGTCGGAGCAGCCTACTTCTACATGTTACATACATTTTCACAAAAACATTATGCCCTATTTTCAACCATTTTGAATGAGCTCTCAGTATAAAGAGGAAATGGCAACAAAAAGCTCTAAACAGCAAATTTGCACCCAAAGGCAAACAACGACACAAAAAAACTGGCAGCCATATTGAGAGGCTCATAAAACTGCCCATGTCAAATTGAGAGGCGTCGTAAAAATAGCAAAAGCTGAGTGAAAGTTTTTTAGAGCTGAAGTAATTTTAGTAACAATCACAACATAAGCAGCAGCAAGCATAACAAATGAACAAAAACTTTTTAAAATGTTCTGACGAGAGCTTACAATAAAAAATTCAAAAACTAAAAGCAGCAAAGAAGGCTACCATACGGAACTAAAATGAGGAAACTATAATTTACTCTATAAAAAACAGCAAAGAGCTACGCAGTATATATTCAATTTTTTTAATCTTTAAAAAAATGTTTGCCAATTCAATTAGGAACCTCAAAGTGCACTCCTTTCAACAGCTAAATTCGAGACTGATTTAAAGTGTATATATATATATTTGATATATATATATATATGTGGTCCGTTGCCAATCAAATTTGTGCTACTTGCCTGCATCAAGTGTTTTGTTTACTCAAGCAACCAAGTGTCGTTTAGCCGGCGTACCTGAGGCAGCTCGTAGCTGCTAGTAAATTCCATGAAACTTTAAGAGAGCTGGCCCCGAAGCACTACAACCGCCTTTGACAGGATTAAAATGTGCTGGCGAGCCAGACGAGTGTGCAGCAGGAGTGGGCGAGGCAACGAGTGGCCAGGCAAACACTGCAACGAAGTGAATGCAAATAGCTGCGCTCGACTGGCTTGTTGGGCGTATGAGTATTGCTTTTATAACAGGAACGTGGTGCAACGCCTACTTCTCCTGCCTTGCAAATAGAAATGCAGTCAGCAGTGGACAAGCTTTTGGCTTCGCTTTATGCAACGGTCCGTCCAGCGTGCCCCTTGGCTGATAATATTGCCAATATGTGAAAGGTTAGGTTAAAGTTCAGATCAGCAAACAGTATTTATGGCATTAACTAACCCGCACTCATAGCTTCGAGCTCACTCTATATTTCTGCCATGTACCAAAATCTACTAAACTCAAATTTAAATATGCGCCCTTAACATTCAAATATAAGCAACTAGAATATTATAGGTGGGATCAGCAAATGCAGCCGCTGACATTTATTGATTGATAGATTGATTGATTGATTTGTGACAGTGGGGGTTGTGCGCACATCGCTAACCAAAACAACAAAGCCAGAGAATCAATGAGAACCCGGAACACGGTCAGCCATAACACAACAGGGGGCCACACTCATTGCTCATTTGCATTTGCCGTGTTGTACAGTTTGTGGCCTTGCCCTGTGCCGACCTCTCGCTACGGCTCTAACCATAATGAATCATTGGCCCACAGCTAGGGGACTCATTTTACGCAAAATTACCTTTGGCATCCGCTGCAGACGTTTAACAACAAAACGATTCATGCAGACTGCAAGGTGCACCCGATTACAAAACGGCTTGGGGCTGAGCCCAAACGCAATCATATGCCATGAGCTCAACACATTGAACCCGTCTGGCAACAATGACCATAAAACGCTTAGTGTTCTGCTTGTATGTGTGTGCCTGTGGGTTGTCTGTTTAATGGTCTTCAATATTTAAGAAGTAAACTCAAAGTCATTACAGCCTCAAAATGCAAAAGCAAATGGATTATGTGAATGTAAGCGTATAATAAAAAATGGAAACATTCATTCTTCTCTCTCTCTCTGTAAAAAAGCTTAATTTTTTTTTATCTAAAATCTATTTGGTTTTACTTCAGCTCTGGCTCTCCACATACAACATTTTAACGCACCCCTCTTAATAAAACACAAACTTCTCATTGTTGGCGAATCAGTGAAGTCAGCTTAATAAAAAAAAGATGAAAAATCCGGGGAATGGTAAAACGATTCTCAGTTAAGTGTAGCGTGAAATAGAAAGAGAGCTTTCAACTGCTCTCAGGGAAAATGTTGCCTCAATTAAAGATAAGTATCAAAGTGCATAATAATCAAAAGGCAGCCAGGCGAGAGACGGGCCAATGAGCAACTCGGCAGGTGCCAGGGCCAGGGCCAGGGCCAGACAGCGTCTAGGTTGGAGGGCGTGGCACAGTGTAAACACAGTTGTGCTGCTGCTGATGCCGCTGCCTTGTCAAAATGATTGTCTTACATGCATTACCCGTCGCTTGGCTCGCAGCATTCTCGGGCCACGGGCGCACCTGACGTATGCGCAATTTTTCACCTGCTCTTTCTGTGTTACTTTTGTTGCACATCGTTTTTCATAGACAGCAACAACAACAGCAACAAATAGCAACGACAACATGGCCAGTTATTTTCGTGCCGTTTTTACTGCAATTTATGCAGACTGGAAACCAGGAGAGAGGAGCCAGAAGGAAGGGGAGCAGCAACAAAAGCGTAGTCCAAATCCATGCCAGGCCTGCCCTCTTTTGGTCATTGCCTGTTAACACACCCAATGGGAGTTATTAATGTTTGCGGCGCTTTATTTACGGCTTGCTAGCAGGCAGGCAGGCATCGGCTTCGAGTCGATTTTTTACCGGCCCCGAAGGCACCAGAACTCGCTGACAGGCAGCAACTCCGATGCCAGTTCCTGTGGGTCTCCACGCAGTTGATTTAAATTTGGCGTAGTTAATTTTTAACCCAATTCCAGCGGCTTTATTTATGTGAAACGCCCATTTAATGTTGCATTTTTTTATTGCCAGCTGGCATATCAGCATTTCGGGGTCCAAAATTTAAGATCTTCAAAAAAGGTCGTGCAGACTTTAAGTTTATATCAACATGTCTTATTGAAGTGCATTTCTAGTTTTCCATGTTTTTAAATATTTAACCACTTGTCACATATTCAATCCCTTTTGTGTAGCCCGTATTCCTCAGGCTTTCAACTTGTGTTGCTTGTCATGTTTCCAAAATCATTTGCAAATCAAATCTTAATTAAACTTGTATGTCGGCCTTCTATCTACACTTTGCCCTACTGCCACTACCTACTACAATGGAAAACTGTCGAATGCGGTAAGATATTGTTAAGCAAATTTGACAAGTGTGTGAGAGTAATATTGAACTGTGATTGGAATTCAGTTTGAATTTCTATATAAGTCTCCCAATGACATGAAGAGAAAAAATGGTATCGAATCATGATGCACATTTTGGTTTGGTTTTAATAAAATGTTGCAATGTGTAGCTAGTTTTCCCTGGGCTAGTTTCATGCTAATATGTGTCAAAATGTTTAAAAAAAATCAATAGGCATAACATTTCCTGGAACTTGATGCCTAATAAAATATGCATAATTACCAATACAAGAGCTTCACGCACTGTCTATGAGTCGAGGGCGATGTCGATGACCAGAGCCTCGGTTATTATTAACTGCATGCAACGGAGCTGGTCACAACAGCACGGCAACATGTGAATAATGTGCAGTGGCAACGAACGGAAACGGAAGTGAATGTTGAGGGCAGCCAACCAATATGCCGCCCCCAAGTTAAGTTGGCTGTGCTGTCGCCCAGCTTGCGCTTCATTGCATGCCAAGTTTTAAAGCGAACATATCCCTAATTTGTTTGTCCTCTTTTCAACGGTGATGTTTATTAATGTACTTTTGTTGTATTTATTTAAGCAATTATTATTTCAGTCATGGCATCCGGGGCCGGGCTAGCGTCAACAGAGAAATTCCAATTAAATTTTACAGTTACCGAAGCATGAAACTGATTCGAGACAACGCAGTGACTATTAAATAGACCTTAATTCAAATTCAATATTTGCTTGACACATCACAATGGTTGTGAACAACAAATATTAATTATGTTATACTATTTTTTAATGAAATAGAACACAAATATTATAATATAATATTTATCTATTATACGGAGAATATATCGCCGCTAATCACATTATTTTCAATGTTTCATGTTTGCATTTAACTCTATACAATACAAATATAAACAACAAAAAAACAATTTGTATACATATATTCAAATATAATAAATTTTTAGGCGTAAAGATCACAAGTTTTTACAACAAAAATTTGCGCTGTTCAAACAGAATGATAAAAGTAGAGAGCTCTAGTCGAGAGTGCCAATGCGGAGATACTATATATTTCTATGTAACCAATTAAATTTAATTGTTTTCGGGAAAACGGAATAAGTTTTTAAAAAAATAAATATAACTCCGTATGGTGTCACTCTCTTTTGTAGTCTCCGACAAATGGAAAGATCCAACGTCGTCATTATAAAGACTATACTCTTGGGTCGGAGCTGCTTTTTACAACATATGTACAAAGTCAATATGCCCTTTTAACCCATTTTAAGCGGTCTATGGTATAAAAAGCGAGACAGATATAGCAATAGAAGGAAAGAGAAAAAACAGTTGAAAGCGTCAAGAATTTTCTGTTTGATGTTGTGCGGCGGCGGAAATTGCAAAATTGTAAAGCGCCACTTTCCGGCCATTTGGAAAGCTGTCCAGTTGCGCACAGGCCCAGAGATTTTTAGTCAATCAGTGCGGCCAGTGGTCCAGCGCTTGTTCATGTGTTGTGAGTTTGAGTTGTGCATGTATATGTGTGTGTGTGTGTGTGTGTGTGTGTGTCGGGGGGTATGCGTGTGTATTTGCTGAGTATGCACTGACCAGGCGTTAATTGAATTATGTTTGCCGCTGAAGCGCTTTTAAAAAAAAAACAGATGAAATGAATCACAGAAACTGATTCAAATATGAGAGTGGCATTTCGCATATGAAATCGAAGAGAATTCAGAAAATCATGAAAGCTTGCATATAAATAAGCCGCAAGACACTAGAAAACCAATTAATAATATGAAATTAAATGCAAAACAAAATATGAAACAAAATTAATATAATAAAGCCTGAGGATCCAATCAGATTTAACGAAACATCAACGAAGCAAATTGTGATGTTATTAAAATGTTTAAATAGATAATTAAATTTAATATAGCAACTAAAAATAAATCATTAAAAGCTTTGAATAAATGGATAAAAAAAATATATATATTAAATGACTTCAGGATAATTATTTGTCATAATTAGACTTGGCCTTTGCCCGTTCCAACTCTAAATTTTTTATTATTATTTGCCCTTATTTATTTATATGTGTTTGTATGAAGCTAATATACCTATTGCGTTAATCCAATCAAGATTCTGCCCATCCACGGTAATGTTTAGTCATTTGCTTAGCCAGCAGTGTACGCACTTCATTACAAACAATCAAATATCAATAGGAACAGCTGAAATTACACAGGCCACCGCATAATAGAACAAATTCCTAAAACGCGTCAGCGTCGAGACCCTTAAGCTGAATAGCCCGAAAACTAACAGTCGGCCCTAGTGCCAAATATATATGAAACAGTAAAACTTAATTTGCTGTTTATGCCAGAACCTAATGACAACTGTCGACAGCCAAATGGCGGCTGGCGGTCATTGCTGGGGTTTTGTCTTGGCGCCTGGTCCGCTGAGGATTTAAGGATTAATAAGCCAAGTTTGGGACGGCGCTAATGAACTGTGCGCTAAGCCCCCAGAAATGAACTGACGAACTGCAAATGAGCGTGCGGCTAGACGCACAACGGGTCGTATGTGTGATGGCCAGCTTAGGCGACCATTTGACATTTTGCGCACGCATACACATACATGCGAGCTATATGCGAATTATATGGGCAAACAAACGTAACATTTGCGTTGATTGCCAAATGCCGTCGGCTGCTTTTAGGCCATGATCCAGCTGCATATAAAATATAATGAAGAGAAATAACTTAAAGCGACGCAGCCATAAAATAAATGAGCCAGCAATGGCAAGTTTTGTGGCTCAAATGGCATGTTTGTGGACAACACATGCTCACATGTGTATAAGTGATAGGCATGCTTATGTCCTCAGCTTGGGCGAATTTCTTGGTGATTTGCATTGCCAAAAAGTTATAGGCAAAAAAGCTTGACAATCCTTTTCGCTGATCGAGGGCTTGGCCAAAGTTTTATTTGGCTTATTTATTAGGCCCTATATGACATTTGCATGGGCAGCCAAAAGACATTTGCGGCCGCTTGAATGCCGGCGCATTCAGTGAATGCCAACAGGATGATAAATCAAAGCTCCTTGCGGCTTTTATTGGACTTGTTCGG